GAAAGAAAGATGAGCTGATTCTCACGGTCAATAAGCAAGCCCAGCACTGAAATAATTAGCTCAGGAACTCTAAAAGAAGGAGCTTTGGCTGTATATCAGAAGCAGTGGAGGCTGCCATAGCTATATAGCACATGTAACGAAAACAATTATTATATGCGTGTTTATATGTGTGTTTACAATGCAAGCAATAGAATTTATAGTATTTAGTACATACATATATATCAGTGTGTGGAACAAAATGATTACCACATAATTGTGTTGTAAATGAAAAGCTATTGTGGGAATTGTTGCAAAGCGCGTATTGAGAAGATGAAAAGGAAATGGTTAGCTATAATTAAAAAAAGAACTCCACGAAGAAGCTGAATGTGGTGAATTCTCCAAAATATCAGTCATATTTAACTATTTTTTCTTTATTTGGAATGTTATTGCATAAGCTACAATAAGATAAGGTAATGTTGAATATATTACCTTAGACAAACTTGCCTTGTTATAACCCATTATAGCGAAAGAGACCAATTTTGCACAATGCAGCTGTTTTTATTTTGTTGTAGAAAGCACAGGAATGAGAACAATTTTTACAAGAATCATTGAAGGCCAGACCAGATCATTTGTTCTCCACGCACTGTAGTCATAACTCACTGTTCAAGAGCCTGTGACACATCAGGCTATTCATATTATATGTGCAGTACATTTATTTAAAAGGTGCTTCAAAGGGTTTTATGTTTCTAGATTTGGACATTTTCAAGAACACCAATTTATTTTATTGGAAGACCATATGACCATGTGGAATTTCATCTAAAACATGTTTAAGAGGCCCTGTTCATGTCATGTTAGGCCACCTTTGATGCAAGCAGATATTTTGTTACTTGAGCTTATTTTTAATTTATTGCTTGCTAACATGTTTGCTTCCCATCTGAGATCAGCAGATTCCTATCTGTAATCAGGAATGCCCAACATAAGGTGTGTTTCTGTTATACGCCTCTACATTATGACTCCAGGAAGAACCTGCAAGTATCTTAGTAGTGACCACAAAATTAATCAGTAAACCAGGCATATGATGTTAAAGGGACACTCCATTTGCCTGGCAAAGACTTCTCATTGACGTTCATTTGGAAGTCTGTGATTGGACAGACACAGAAAGTCTGGGCGGGGTTAGAGGGGGAGGGCTTGTAAATGCTGCAGACATTAGCTCTGCAATTTTTTCAGACTGTTTTTATATATACCACCAATGAAAAATAATGTATCATGAAATGCATGCATGTTTTTATTAGGGTATATCTACTACATTGTTAAAATAAATAAATAACTTTTTTTCCATTGGAGTGTTAATTTAAAGGAGTATTGATGTACAGCTACATTTTACAGATCTCTAAATTGCATCTCTGTTCACTGGTGGATCCAGGGGGGGGGCAACGGGGCAATTGCCCCCCCGAGAAATCCGCCGGTCTCCCTCCCCTGTCAGCACATGCAGGTGCCAGCCCTGCAATGTGCCTGCGGACCGGAGGGGAGATCAGAGATCTCCCTCCCCGGTCCGCAGGCACTGTGCTGACAGCCGGCAGGGGAGGGAGAGGGAGGACCCGGGAGCTCAGTCTGCAGCTCCTCCGGGTCCTCCTCTCGCGAGATTTGGAGCGTTGCCGCGGTTACCATGGCAACGCTCCAAATCTCGCGAGAGTGAACTCTAGCCCGGGAGCGTGGGCTAGCGTTCACTCTCACCACTGGGACCACCAGGGAATCACCACTGGGACCACCAGGGATGAAAATATGTCCCCCCTCCTCCTCAATAAAGGTAAGAAGGGAGGGGGGACATAGAATATTTGTTTTTTTTTATTAAATAAAGATATAAATTATAAAAAAAAGCCCCCCCACCCTTAACACACACACACATAGCCCCCATACAGCCCACCCATACACATACTGCCCCCCCATACACACATACTGCCCCACATGCTGCCCCCCCATACACACACCCTGCCCCCATGCTGCCGCCCCCATTCACACATACTGCTGCCCCATACACATACTGCCCCCATACCACACATGCCCACCATGCTGTCCCCCATTCACACATTTACTGCCCCCCATACACACATACTGCCCCATACACACACATACTGCCCCCCATACACACATACTGCCCCCCATACATACTGCCCCATACACACACACTGCCCCCATACACATACTGCCCCCCATGCCCCCATACACACATACTGCCCCCATACACATACACACACACATACACACACACTGCCCCATACACACATACACTCCCCATACACACACTGCTCCCCATACACACACACTGCCCCCATACACTACCCCATACACACACTACAACACATACACTGCAATACACACACACACACACTGCAACTGTTACACACACATACTGTCCCACACATACACTGCATCCCTGACATACAGTGCCCCCCTACTCACACACTACAACCTTCACACACACACACACACACTGCTCACACACTGTCCCCCTCACACACACACACACTGCACCCCTTACACATTGCACCACTCACACACACCACTGCTTCTATGCCCTACTACCACCCCATTTCCCAGCAGACCTCAGGTAAGTTGTCAAACTGTTCTTAAACGGTTTGACTACTTACTCTGGGAGGGGGTCCCGGCACTATTGACACCATAACCACTACACTGAGCTGTAGTGGTTATTGTGTCTGGATTATTTCTTTAAATAATCTACAAGTGCCCCTCCCGAGATCAGGCTCTGGATCCGCCACTGTCTCTGTTTTGAAGTAATTGTTGCAGTGAAAGTGTTAAGTCTAGTGAACAAGCAGAAGATGGCTGCAATTTCCCTGAATGCATTTATTTAATTTGCTTGGCTACTTTGGAGGAAAACCTTGTTAGTGAGCATTTCTTAAAGCTCCTGGATCATCTCCCAAACCACTGATCAGGTTATGGGATACAGTCCTGCCTCTTAGATTACAGTGTAGATAATCTACAATATTTGTAAAGAAAAAACTCTATAAATCTCATAGTTTGGACGATTGTTAATTGTAGATTTGTGAATATAAGTAAGGATCAATATAACACGCGTGTACCTTCAGTAGTGCACAAATTCTCACTTAACTAACCTCTTTACAGAAGTATGCTTGGGTTTTGATTGAATTCTCCAGCAACTGTTCTTAATTTAGCATTCTCAATGCAACTTCTTATGGGAAGGAAAGGCCACAGATAGCCACATGCATTGCTGTTCTGCCCTTTTGAGTTGTGTGATGATATGCAATTCGGTACTCGGTAGTCACACAAGACAAGCAGCTGCTGATGCCACCAGTGGTCTCAGCAAAGAAGCTCGACCACTGCCCCTGATAGCTTGCAAACTATATCCTCTTTGAAGGACACTACTCCTCCACAAAAGGAACACTCTGAGCACCAATCACCTCCCTCCCTACAACATGGAATATCCTGTTAAGCATCATAGCCTCCAAGATCGAAGGACATATGAGCCAATATTTAAGCAATACTCAGAATGGAACAGGAAACATTAGAGGCTGTAAACATATGCTTCTATTAGACCAAACAGTCTCACAAGATTCCAAGACCAGACAGACTAATCAGTGTGATCTGACTACAGGAAAACCTACGACACAATGCCACACACCTGGATTCTGGACTCCTTGGCTCTATACAAGGTCAACGAGACCCTAAGGGTTTAAAAAACTTTCCAAAGATGTATCTACAAAAATTCCCATAGACTTTTATGGTGACATATGTAGATAGATAATTTGAAAAGTTTTGCTAACAATATTGAATCATTTGGAAAGCTTATTAAATGAAAGCCTAAGAGCTTTCACGAAGAACTCAATGGGTAAGTGGGGAATAGCACTAGAAGCCACTGTGTTACCAAGGAAGGTATACACTGAAAGGCACAACCAAGTTGCTGGGATTGTGTACTGAAACTTCTGCACAGAATATGGACTGGATCTGGACCTGCCAAGTCTAAAAGGGACGTGCCTCAAAGGGTTGTTGATAATGAGAGGGCTAAGATCCTGTTGGACTTCCAGATCCAGACAAACAAGCAGGTACTGGCAAACCCACCATACACTGGTAAGCATGAAATGGAAGACTGCAGTGGTGGTGGATGTGGCAATAACCAGTGTTCATAACAGAAAGAAGGAACATAAAAAGGTGGACAAATACCAATGACTGAAAGAGGAGCTAGAAAGGATGTGGAAAGGGAAATCAGTATAATTCCCAGTTGTTATAGGGGTACTCTAGGCTGTAACCCCCAAGTTTGGAGAGTGGCTTCAGCAGATTTTAGGTGGGACATCTGAGATCGCTGTCCAGATATTGCGCAGAAGCCTCAGAATCTCATTTTATTTTTGTAAAATACACAAAAATGCCACTCGGAGAAGTGAGAAGGTCAATTAAAAAAATAATAATAATAAAAAATAGAGAGATATGCATACACACATATATTAGACGTACGCTCAAATTGCAAACTCCAAAACATAGTCCGTGTCAGTGGAGATGTCAGGGTATAAGTAATGTGCAGATCATTGAAACCTGTTGGCCTTTGGTATTAAAAAAAATTACGGGTGTTTTTTTTTTTGCCAAAAAGCATAGAAATGAGCCCCAACATGGGTATTTCCTATATGAGTACAACAATATTTTATTTCATGCTTACATGCAGTGTTATTTCCTAAATCAGCTAATTCTTAAAAAAAAAAAAAAAATAATTAAAAAAAATAAGGCTAAAGAAAAATAAAAAAAAATTGTGAACTTTTTAAAGCTTCTCTTAATGCCTTGACATTTTAAAAGATACATTTCACCAGTTATTATATTTGTATGAGTCTCTTCTGGCTGTATTATAGAACTGTAAAAAAAAAAATAATGTATAAATAATTTCAAGTCAGCTGGGGCAGCTATTTCCTATTTCACAACAATAGAGAACACCCAAGATGGCGTCCAGGACAACATTCACAGGCTCATCGGCCACTAAGTAGCTTTTGTTTTGTTCTGTTCTTCTCGCTGTGCTTTTGTCCGTTTGCTTTCATTGTCAATAAAGTTATTTAAAAAAAAAAAACCGTGCTAGCTCGTTGTTGTGGCCGTGAAACCCCTGCGAAGACTACATTTCCCGGCACGCAGTGCGCGCAGAAGTGACAGCAGAGGGGGGAAGATCATCATGTCGGCTGTGAGGGGTGCTGGTGCATTGCTAGGTGACTGAGCCTTCCCTGTTATTGTTGTTTGGAGCTGTGGGGGTCTCCAGGTCGCTCTGTCTCCGGGGAGCTGTCCATGCTGAGTCCCTCCAGGCCTGGCAGGGCCCAAGCTGCAGCCTCAGAGCTCACCTGACCTTTGGACTCCCTAACCTGAGCCCTACAAACAGGCTGCTATGGGTGTACAGCTGGTCACTGCATGGGGGGTGGGGAGGGGGTCTGTGTGTTAATACCTAATTAATGTTATCTGACTGCTTTGTCATTGTATTATCATTCATATTTCTTTTGCAGGTTAAAGAGACAGAGGGCTATATTATTATTATTATTATTATTATTATTATTATTGTATTATATAGCGCCATCAGATTCCGTAGCGCTGTACAAAGGGTGGACTAACAGATCTTACTCATGTAAACACAAATGTTATTAGACTATGATTAATATTATTATTATTATTAATAAAGCGCCAACAGATTCCGTAGCGCTGTACAAAGGGTGGACTAACAGATCTTACTTGTGTAAATACAAATGTTATTAGACTATGATTAATATTATTTATAAAGCGCCAACAGATTCCGTAGTGCTGTACAAAGGGTGGACTAACAGATCTTACTCATGTAAATACAAATGTTATTAGACTATGATTATTATTATTTATATAGCGCCATCAGATTCCGTAGCGCTGTACAAAGGGTGGACTAACAGATCTTACTCATGTAAATACAAATGTTATTAGACTATGATTATTATTATTTATATAGCGCCATCAGATTCCGTAGTGCTGTACAAAGGGTGGACTAACAGATCTTACTCATGTAAATACAAATGTTATTAGACTATGATTAATATTATTATTATTATTTATATAGCGCCATCAGATTCCGTAGCGCTGTACAAAGGGTGGACTAGCAGATCTTACTCATGTAAATACAAATGTTATTAGGCTATGAATAATATTATTTATAAAGCGCCAACAGATACCGTAGCGCTGTACAAAGGGTGGACTAACAGATCTTACTCATGTAAATACAAATGTTATTAGGCTATGATTAATATTATTTATAAAGCGCCAACAGATTCCGCAGCGCTGTACAATAGGAGGGCTAACAGACAAGTATTTGCAACAAGAGGAGTTGGAGTCACAAGAACAGAGGGTGTTGAGGGCAGGGAATGCTACCATAGAGTTTACTTATAAAATATAGAATTAGTGGGGAACATGACTTGTATGTTTACACATATGCTCTGTGAACCCTGATCTATTACAGTTTTGATAATGTCATGTTACAGGTAAAATTGGTCATTTAGTACCTTTTCGTTGTATAGGATTTAGTCAGTGACTTGAATTCGTAGGTTACTTTTTCTATTCTTGTTTTGGTTCATTGAACTTGTTCTGTTTTGACGCAGAGATGTTGTATTTTTGAGCATGTTCCTGTGTTTTCCGATATGTGCCTGATAACTCTAAAGCTTGCATGTGCGTAGAGAAGTCGGTCTGTAAATATTAGCTTTCCTGTTATTAGCTTAAATTATTAAAATGGTTCAAGAATAGAGAACACAGAAAGCTAGATAAAAATAAATAATAATCATGACTAGACTCTAAATTACCCAGTTAAACCATAAACATTTGTTGTATTATTTCCTGTGTTTGTATTAATATTTTTTTGTGAATTTTTTTATTTATTTATTTATTTTTACCTTAAATTTCCTTCCTTCAACTGCAGGTTTTCTGCTTTTGTTACAGTGTACCTGCTTTTGTCAGAAAAAAATCCCACCTTGTATATTTGATGTATCCCACCTTGAGATATTTGTATATTTTACTATATATCATAAATAAAAAAGAAAGTTTTTTTTTTTTTTTCATGTGTGCAGGTGAATATGACCTTATATACAGTATTTGCAAATTGAGAAAAGTAAAATGCAAATGTATAAAATGTGAATTAAAATGACATAGAATTTAAACATACATGTAGACCATTCTAATATACATATACTGTTACCTGAGGGAATTTAGATTTAACTCAGTTTTGTTGCTTCTTATTAATCTATAAGTTAATATTCAAAATATAAACGGTTAATTGAAACCTGAATTGCAAAATGTGCTACTTTTTGTAGAATAACATAGAAACAGCACATTTTTTTTTTAAATGGGATAAAAATTCTTCAACATGTCTCCTTCTAGAACACGGCACAGTTTTTTTTTTTCAAACCGTGACTGTTTTAACTATTAATTCTCTTTAGTTTGATGCAGGTCGTTTAGGAGTACAGACTTTGTTTTGAACATTACCCAGAAACAATATGGCAGACACTACGGTAGACACTAAGCCTCTTTACCAAACACGATTTGAAGCAGCTGTCAGTGTAATACAAAGTCTGCCCAAAAATGGTATGTATTTGCAAGAAGCAGCATTTGCTATATTATTTCCATTGAAAGGGTTAATATAGACTGGAAGAAAACCCTGTTTTGTAAAGGCAATATATAGATCAGGGGTGCCCAAAAGGCAGATCCTTAGATGTTGTAGAACTACAAATGAGAGAGAGAGACTCATTCTGGTTATTTATTTCTTTTTTCCATCATTTTAATTTTTTGTTATGTTTGTTTTCCCCTTTTCCCATTATGGTTATATTTGTATGGGTGTCTTTTTATTTATATTTTTTATTACAACTTGTTGTGATATAGTCAGCATTTGCAGAATCTTGCATAAATATTAGTAACGATTAAAATGCCACCTCTTTATGGTTCCAAATGTGTTTCTATGTCATGTACTTAAAAGTATATTAATTTTCTGCCTTGCAACATTTTTTTAGGGTCATTTCAGCCCTCAAATGAAATGATGCTGAAATTCTACAGCTTTTATAAACAAGCAACCTTAGGACCCTGTAATACTTCAAAACCTCAGTTTTGGGATCCCGTTGGACGATATAAATGGTGAGTTCCCATTTTCTGGGAAGTTGTTACTGGCAAGTGTATCAACTTCCTTGCGTTGATTTGCTTTAGAACTGTTACTCTTTTTTTTTTTTTTTCATTCTTTATTTTTGCAGTGCATTGAGATATGACAAACGAGCATGCGGTACCCCAACGGCAATCCTCATGCTTTTCGAGAAACCGTTATAACATTAGGGTTTGGTTAGTACTTGCACATTTTTATATTATAGGTTAAGAGAGGGTTTAGGTAAATTGAATAGTACAACTTGGTGAGGTTAAAACAGGCTTATACGATTCGAGAGCATGTTAAAGGTTAAAGAGGCTTAATCTTACTACAGGTTTGGCATGTCATATTATACAGCTTTATAATGCAGTGGTTCTGCGCAGTTATACAATCCATTTGGATTGACAGGGTGGACTATGTGTTTGCATGCTATGTGTGTTGAAGGGTATTATGTTAGTGTCTATGGTGAGGCAGTGGAGGCAGGGTTTGGTGTCTAGCATGTTCATGAATAGGCACTTTTTTTATATTTTATAGGGGGGGAGGGGTATTTTCATTATCCCGCCACAAACTATGAGTGTAGATGTGGGAGCGCTGCTGTGCTCTGTCAGTTTGAGGTGGGCTGTGCAGGGCTCTTTGTGCCATTAGGTGCGAACTATCTACAAATTCAAACATGGTGAATATTCCCTCAAAGACAACATATAAGCAAAATCATTAAATATGCAACAGGGCAGGCAATAAACTTCTGGTATTAGTTGGGTTTGTGAAAAGTATGCTTGTGTCCTCGTTCTGCTTCCCCTGGAGGGGCTAAGTGTCCAGCGTCAAACCGGTCCCCAGAGGCTGTTGTCGTTCCGTGGTCTTGGAGCTCCCGGCGCTTGGAACAAAGGGGATGATGTGTTCTGGGTCCCAGCTATCTGTGGTCGGCCTCCCATGTGGGGCAGCAGCGATCGGGATGTCCAGTCCCAGTGCCTTCAGAAACTCGGGTACGCCCTCCATTGAGGTGAGTGTGTGGTGAGTTCCATTCCGGTGCACCATTACGGAACCGTTGGGCCCCCATCTGTATTCAATGCCCACCGACCTCAAGCCACTGGTGAGAGAAGAGAAGGTTTTCCTCCAGGTGAGGGTGGCTTTCATTAGGTACTGGAAGAAGTACAGTGTAGTTCCTTCAAAATCCAGTGGTGTTTTCCCTTTAAGGGCCGCCATGAGCTGAAGTTTGTCCTGTATTGTTGGACATCTGAGTATCACATCTCGGGCTGTGTTTTTCGGTGCCCTGGCGGATGAGGGTAGGCGATATATCTCTGCTGTGGCTAGTTTTTTCGCTGCGGCTGTAGGCAAGGTTGTGGCTATGAGGCGCCTGGAGTAGTGTGGTAGTTCGTTTGGTGTGATTTCCGCAGGGATGCCCCTTATCTTTATATTAGTGCGTCTTTGTTTGTCTTCCAGAGCAGTGAGATGTGCAGTTATGGCTCTATGTTGTGCATATACTTGCTGCACTGATTCTTGTAGGTCAGAGAGATGTTCCTGCAGGCTCGTGATGTCTTTTTCGGTTGCCTGCACCCTGCTGGTAATTACTTTGATGTCTTTTTTGATGGGAGCAAGTTTCGTCGCTAGAATTGTGTGAAAGTCCGTCAGCAGGGTTTTTAGATCCTGTCTGGTGATTGGGGCTGTGTCGGCTGCATCATCCCTCTGTTTTGGGCTCTCTACCTGGGTGTCCTTGGAGGCCGCCATTTCTGGGTGGTGAGTGTGGGCTGCGGGGCACGGAGGTTCAGCAGGGGCGGTTTTGGCCTGCATAGGCCTCTGAAGCATGGCCCCGATATCCCTGCTGTCTGCTGTGTGTTGTGGTCGTTGGGAGCGGCGACCCATAGCTGGCATGTGTGCCGGTGAGTCTGTCGTCTTGGGGGTCACCCAGTCCCACACTTGCCTTGCCACTGTGCCACTCAGGATCGCCTCCAGGCCTGTGTGCGTCAGTGTGGGGTAGGCCCGGTTCTCTTTCTCCGCTTGGGTTGATGGCGGCCGCAAAGAACGGCATCTACTGCTTCAGGATGGGTTGGAGGGTCTGTGTGTACCCTTTCTGTAGCTGGATGGGCCTGTTGTGGCGTGATTTTCCCGGATTTAACGCGGTTTGTGGAGGAGCACAGAAGAATGGCGTCTCCCCAGGTTGATGGTCAGGCTCCGCCCCCCCTAGAACTGTTACTCTTACGTTAAAATTGTTACTTTTACTCCTGTGAAGTAAATAAATATACACAATTGTCTTAAAATGCAGCAGTAATTAAACACCAGGTAAGCCTATCATTGCTTCAGCCATACTAACCGGTAACAGCAACTGACTGGCAGAGCTGGGGGAGGGGGAATAAATATTAGAGAGTCTGAGAATTTTTCACAATTCTGCTTCTTTTGCCTGAATCCTGCACATCACTTACTGTTCAATGAATAAAAGGTCTTTGGCATTTAATGATGTATTTCAAATATGAATTGATTTGATATTTTAGGGATGCTTGGAGCGCTCTAGGTGACATGTCTAAAGAAGATGCCATGATTGCGTATGTGGAGGAAATGAAAAAGGTTCGTAGTTGTAGGTTTTAATTTTGTTATAATTATAATAATTGTAAAAAAAAAATAAAAAAAAAATTAAATGAAAAAATAGTGTTTACATGTACTTTGGTATTTCCTAAGCTCATATCCACGTTTTTTTATTTGGACAGAAATGAAGCAATTTCCCTATTAACTTTACGAAGTACATCTAATTTTACATGTACCTCTCACTGGCTATATAGTATTCGGTAGTAAAAAGGATTTGCCTTTTTATTTTTTGCGATAGCAATATAGTATAATACGGCATACTAACCAGTCGGGTGCTTAAAGTTTTAATCTTTGGAAGCAGGGCCAACAAGTAAAAAAGAAAACCAATAACAAATGATGTAAGTTTGCCATTTGAAAGACATTTCATAATTGCATACATCTATGAACTAATTAATTTGTGTGTGTGTGTGTATATATAGGATGTTACTGTAATTATAATAACAAGGTAACCTCTGATCCCATGCGTAGCAGTCAAGCAAATAAACACTGTGATAATAAGGTACCAACAATACAGTACTCACAAGTGGAATGTGTTATACAAGAGTAAGAAAACTCTTTGAATAATTATTTCAGCACAGTTACTCCAGACTCCCTGCGATGGCACTTATTTATTTTATTATTTATTTATAAAATATTGTCCCCAGGAAAGATACCTTGAGATTTCTCTCATTTTCACTTGTTTGGTAGTTCATTTTGTGTCACATATCTTACATATCTTACTCCTTTCTGTTTTTTTTTTGTGTGTGTTACTTTTTATTTTTCTTGCTTGTAAGACATATGAGTGTGTTTCTAGTGTAGAAAGTGTGAGAAATGTAGGGAATGCGCAGAATTCTGAGAACAGAATATGCTCCAGGGTAGTAAACCTAAAGTGCATGTTGTTACGGGCTTCAGTGCTGGCTAATTATTTTAAACTACATTTCCAATATGACCCCGGCAACTCTAGATTAGCTGTTAACTTGAATACTAAATTCTTACTCTGCAGTGCAGTTGTAGATAATCTTGTTTGGTAGCTTCCTTAGAACTGTCATTTATTCATATAATATGGTGGTATTTGGGTTATGACGTAAGTGATGTAAAACTTCCCTCTGATGCATCTTCGTCTGCCTTGCAGTCTATCACATCTAGAATAGCTGCGCCAAATAGGGTGAGTTCTCAGGTATAATAAAAAAAAACACCTCTTACTAAAATACAGACATAGAAATGTTTCTAATTTTTATGAATTTTTTTTAAATTTTTTTTTTGGGATTATTTGTGACTTTTCAAATACATTGCAAAAGATAATGAGGTAAACTAAAAAAGCAGCATGGAATTTCAAAGTCTCATTTAGATCATCCATTGAAAATAAGTTAAATGATTGCAATGATATGCGTCGCTAATGTTGGTGTTGTGTGTGTTTGTGTGTTTCTTTCAATGTTCTGGATGGATATTCTGTTACCCTAAGCATACCTTACGGAATATGGCTAGGCTAACAGGCAGTGGTGATTGCTATGCTATGTTGTGACCTCTTGCATTTTGGAAACTAGATCCTTGAGACCATGCCAATCACGGAGAAAGTGGAAGAATTACTTCAAGTCATAGGTCCATTTTATGAACTAGTGGACGACAAAAAACATGGCAGAGGATCTGGTGTATCATCAGGTTGGGCTAACTTCTGCTTTCTATTTTAGCGCAAACCTAGTCAATATGTTCCTTCTCCACTTGCTGTACATTTCAATCTGTCAGATCTTTCTGTTCTCTTTTCTTTCACATGACAGTACGGCTGGACAAAGTTACTAAATCTCTAGAAGGTAGGAATAAAAGAAGAAACACAATGTGTTTTACTGTAAAGAGGAAGTACTATTATTTGACTTATTTAAAGCAACCTTTTCATTTTGTTACATCATTTCCAGCTTTGAATGTGGCTTTTGTTTTCATGTTATACATCCTTTTTCTTAGTAGCTGTCTGTATCGTCATTATATAGTGTTGAAGGATCATATTAAAGAGGAATTTACATTTTCTGTTTATGTATTCATGTATTTAACATTTAAGATCTGATAAATAACATGAAAATGTGGAAATCCACACCTCAATTTTCTGCACCTAGGTTCCTCTACCGTAGCCACCTGTCAGTCATTGTTTTAAACTCTCTGTCTTCAACCCACCCACCCTCCTCCAGCAGTCCGCACAGACAAAGCATACAGAGAAGTGGAGAATTAAAACAATGTTACTGACTTTGTCTTTTGTGACAAAGCATCTGTGTCTAAATTGAATGCATCTCATGAAAAAAAGTTAGCACAGGTTAGGTGATATACAATGTTTTATTGAATGGTGTTTATTCCAGAGAAGTTACAGTTCACTGTTTTTTTTATAATGGCAATGTATCACGTGTGTTCCTTAACAGTGTAATCTGAGCCTGTCACCTGGAAAAAATATTTTACGACGATTTATAATGATGCATACAAACTTTGGCTTTTAACATCCAACAATATTAAGCAAATACACTTATACATACATACTACTGTTTTACCTATGGTACTATGGGTATATTGGTTACTTCCTAATTTCTGTTTGTAACGATAAGAAATACTTTCTGCTACGTAACTCTTCTATGTACATTTAACAAATGTTTAAAGCCAATATAAACTATTTCTTTTCCTCCTTGTGGTACTTCCCTGTTACAAGGTGACATTCTTGTGCCGTATCATTTTTGTTCTTAGCCAAATCTTCCACAATCCTTTTTATTTTTGTGAAACAGTTTCTTAATACCTTGTGCAAAATTGGCATGTGATGCAGAGAATTAGTGTTGCATTGTGGGTGTTTTCAACGTTGACTCAGTCTGTGACCTGAAATGGAATGTGACTGGCATAGATATACTTTAAAAGTGGAAATACACACTAGTGGAAAGAGCGTTCTGATGCACATTTTCCCTTCTAACCAAGTATGTTTAATGGCTTCTCTTAGACTGCAGTCTTGGTCAGAAATATCTAATTTTTAGTTTGTAACCGCGGCTGGTTCCCTTATTTACCACTATAATGTCTTAAAGCATAGAACTTAGTAGGGCTAACCATACAGATATCTATATAATTTTATATAGTGTAAGAGATCCTCTATTTAACATATATAAATAATTGAGAATACAATATAAAATAAGGATTGTCTTGGAAGCAATAGTTTTGTCTTTTAGATATTTATTATATAAAATCCATTATAGTAGAGTTTATAAGATTAAATTAAATGCTTGCAAATATCATTAATAGGTTAACATACCCTTCTGAACATGTCATCATGTCAGCCTCTCTGTCATTTTAAGATGGAGCAGTGTCTGTCTCCAAGTCTCTCCTCTGTGTCTTAACATTTAAAAGTACACCTATTTATACCTTAGGTGTCTCCATTTTAGGGTTACCGTACTTCATATATGAAAAAGTAACACTTCTTTTAGTTTTTTTTTAGATTTTTAGGACCTCCCTTAACTTGGCAAACATACAAGGCTATAACTAAAGGGTGCATACCTCATGGAAATTTTCCTGACTTAGTTCAAGATGGCATCTGAACTAAGGATGAACTAAGGATGTCTGGACATCCTTATCTACTTAAGATTACCACAGTATATTACATACTGAAAGAGTGGTAGTATAGCCTTGAAGCTTGTTTATGCATTATTGTTATTGTAATTCGTCTAGGACAAAATGCCACAGACATATTATACACTGAGGTTATTGCTTAAAGAAACAGTTATGAAAAACAATATGTTCCATTTCTAACACCTTGTCAGTTTGCAATATCTCTTAAAGACAAAGTACACAGTTTAAGAAATACAATATTTCATTCTAAAACTTGTAATATTTGCATTTGCCCATAAGTTTATTTGCAAATGTTTCTGTTCATCATACCGGTCTGATTTCATTATTGAAAGACTTGGCATTTGTGATCCATTTTCCCACCTTCATTCTCTAGGTGCTGCAAGTTTATACCCTAAGCAACAGTCTTTTTATTTTCCTGCAGTGTGATATTTTCTGCATAGGCTGAATGTTTCTTTTTTTTCTATTTGTTTTTATTTATTTGTAGGTTCATCTTAAGTTAAACAGTAAGACTCGCAGGTCTAATCATTTATATAACATTTGCATAACATAAACAAGGAAAACTCAGGATCCATGAGCGAAATATACGTTTTGAAGACCCATTGGCTTGCCGGCTCATGTTATAATGGGACTCGCAGTTCAGAGTCGACTTTCTGGGGAGTAGATCTAGTTAACCTCTCCCTACTTTAGGGTACATATATGCTCACTTCTGCTATAACATTGAGTTTATCACCTTAGTTTTTGTAAACTCCAGGTTTCAATCTTAAGTGGAAGCTTACACATATTATGTAGCTTATATTATTTGCTCGGGGTCTAGTTTCCCCCCATGACTTTTACCTATGGCAGAGCCCGAGTGTTGCTTAGGTTTCTCTGCACCTCCTCTGTGGTGCCTGAATCCTTGTCCTTAGCTATTACGTGTTAGGTGTCGATTTTCTGTTGAAAATGGGCGTCTCTGTTGTGCGCGGGTGTGATGGGGTGTGTGTCTATCTAATTGCCATACGTTCGTTATGTTTTGCTATATTCACGTCTAATTGCCAGGTATCCAAGCCACAGAGTGTCCTGGATCACTGTGCCACTGATCAGGTATCATTGTCTTTTTTTTTCATTTTCCATCTTCTATTTCTCGTTTTGTTTATCCTTATTACTCTCCTTGTTTATTATGCTATTTGTCTGTCTCATAATTGGCCCGTATGGCCTCGATCCCGGTTCCCCCAGGCCCCAGTAGTCTCGTAGGGGGGTAAGGAAAGGGTTAGGAGCAGTGGGTAACGGGCTATGATATGTGGGGTGCGATTCCTCCCGTAAGGATCAGGTCAGTTGGTACCCCTGCTGTGTTTACCGGTGCGTCTCCATCACGACGTTAACGGGAGATGTAAAAGAACCAGGGCATCCACAGCTCCGCATGCCTGGTTCCTCGTCCTGTCAGAGTAGCATGTGCTTCTTCTGCTCCCTGAATATCTTCTACTCTTCGAATCCACTCTTTTCTAGTAGGTACTTCACTCTTTTTCCAGTGGGCTGGTATGTTGGCCTTGGCGGCATTAAGCAGGTGTCGTAATATCGATTTCTTGTACGACGATAACCCTAACAATCCCTATGTACTATGTCATCGAAAAGGTATAATGGGGCCCGGTCAGAGTGCTTCAAGTGTGCTTCTGCCTAACACTTCCTGGATACATTAGAGTGTGGGATTGGACATAGTGGCGGGTGTGGGTCAGGCTGCGTCAAGGTTCATTTATGTACAACAATAATCAAGATTGTTTCCCTCCGCCTCCCCACCCACTCCACCCCTCTCCCTCTCTGCAGATCAGAGTCGTTGGGTCTAAGTACATGTGACCCAAATTAAAGTCCTCGTCTGCAATAAAGTGTCCCCATCGCAGCGTTTGAGTTCAGGGTTTCTTGGCTGGTTAATGGTTACCCGGAGGGACTGTTGTATTCACTTCCCGCTTCCCCCCTACACCCTCCACCCCAAGGTTGTGTCCGCTAGCCCCGTGTTGGATATCATCCAGGGTATAAAAATAGGGAGTCAAGTGTATGTCCCGGATGCTTGCTCCATGGGTGTGTGACCCCCCTTTGTGTGCCCACAAGCCCGTTTTTCCCCCCTCCCCAAGCCCCTATACGTTATCCAATTGTACCTGTTGGTGTATCGTACACCAATCCTGCTCATCTTGGGCATCAGGAGGCATGTGTGGTTCGCAAGTGTCCAGTTGCAGGGGTCAATCTCGCTAAGGTCAGCTTTGTTAGTTGGTGCCATTGGATGTCGGTTTGGGTTGGTTGTCGAGGAGTTTTGTGTGGCGGTTGTTGATGTGGGTAGGTAGATGCATTCATTCCTCCGGGGATGTTGGGTCTCCGCGCCTTCCAGCGTGTTGCCTGGGCCCTCTCTGTGGTCTCGATGGCAGGCCTCAGGATCCCAGTATCCAGTTGGGGACCGGCGGTGAGGGGAGGCCCAGTTCTCCCATAAACTTGTGATACCTCTTCCGGCCATCTCATGGTGATCCATTTATTCTGGTGTCTAGCCATCAAGGCAAAGGGGAATCCCCATTTGTATGGTATATTATGGTCTCTCAATATCGCTGTCACCGGGCGAAGAGCCCGCCTGGCCTCCAGTGTGATGGGAGACAAGTCATTATAGATCGAAACTTGAGCCCCTCTAAAGGGCCAGGCCGGCCGTTCCCAGGCTTTCGCCATAATAGTGTTCTTCACCGGGAAGGAGTGTATGCAACATATTAGGTCCCGCGGCCCGTCTTCCACAGCTCGGGACCTTAGGGTCCCTGTGTGCCCTCTCAAATTCTATCTGTGGTGGTGGGGACGGTTGCAATAGAGAATGGAAGCGCTCCGTAAGTATTTCTTTAGCATTTTCCGCCCCTTCGGCTTCTGGCACACCGCGGACATGGATATTGCATCTCCTGCCTCTGTTGTCCACATCTTCAAGAGGTCGGCACATGGAGAGCAGCATCTCGCCTTGGCGTGCAACCGCTGTGTCAGTAGTTGCCATGCGGGCTGTGAGGGCTGCATTTGCCTCCTCCGTCGTGGTGATGTGGCCTGCTTGCGCGGTTAGCTCTGTGCGGATCCCTGTCCTCAGCGTGTCCTGGATGGTAGCTGTTATAGCCTGGAGGTCGGCTTTTGTCACCATTGAGGCCGTCAGGTCCCATAGTGTGCCTTCAATTCTATCTAAGGCCGGGAACTCCTGCCCCGGACTGGATGTCGACGCCATTTTGGGACCTACAGAGTCCCCGCTTGCCCCGGGCTGTGGCTGTAGAAATCCATCCAGCGGGCCCTGTTGGGGGTTCCTTGGGGTCAGAGATTGCTCAGGGCGTTTAGTGCGCCCCATTAAGCTTAAATTGCTGCGCTTTTACTGCTGTATTGGGATCCGGTGGAGCGGAGCTTTCTCTTTACGCAGCCATCTTGGTCAGAGCCGGAACCACGCCCCCTGAATGTTTCTATGTGTTATGTGAAATGTCTTCAGCAATGTTTGTGAAAGAGGCAGACGAAGCATACTAGACCTTGTCTCAACTTGAAATATTCTGTTGTATTGTACAATGGCTTATTGGGAGAATTTATAGTGGCACCATCTCCAAATTAAAACAGCGCCCTATTCAATGGGCTATAATAACATGCTTGCTGACAGAGGGGACTAACATACTGGATGAATTTTGCACTAGTCTAGTATTTTAGCAGAGGTATACATTAACATTATTTGTATGTAATCGAAAAATTAACTCCGTATTTGGCTAAACAAGGTTTATGGGTTATGACCAATACGTGGGGTGTCGTGATAATAGGAAGTGCTGCAAATTGTTAGTGCAGTGTATTTTGTTATTGCTTTGCATGTTCAGTGATTTTGAAAGCAAACATAAATGAGAAGGTGCTTGGTGTACTTTTGCTGTTGAACTACACGTCCAATGCATATTCACCCCATGCACCGAGAAGCTGTTGGCACTGCTGTGTAGATATATTCGGCAATTCAGAAAAGACTGACTCTTTTGATGTTGCCAGATTGCTACAGGGAAATTGTGTAAATCTGGCAATGCCAAAAATACTGAGACAAATCCACCTGTCGTTGTAACACTTGGGCAGATACAAACAGTGGAGGACGGCTCTGGGTGACAGGAAATTATATAGTTTTTGTCAAATCAGTAAAAAACTTCTTGACAAATTCAGAGGGACATTACTTAAAATCTGTAGCACTATCATCACTTTATATAACAAAAACTAGTGGTTATGGTACTTGCAACATCCTTTATGTTTTTCCTTAGTTAAGAATTGTTTTGAATCTCTTCGTCTATAAAATAATTGAAACAATTTACATATATAAACTTAGTCTGCCTGTTTTTGTGAATTCTTTAGAGCTCAGCAGTGCCCTGACCTCTACACCAAATTGTAAGGCTGTTAATGGTAAGACAGAAAGTAGTGACAGTGGAGCAGAGTCGCAAGAAGAAGGTACAACAAGGCATGAAAGCGATGATGAAGAAGAAGAAGAAGAAAGTGAAAAGGGTATTTTAAGTTAGTTGTAAAATTTTATAAATTATCGTTTTACTTTCCTTTCTTGAATACTGCATTGCAGGTCTACTACAAAATGAAGATCCGTTTCCTTGATTAGCTCTTTGAAGAAGTGGACACTGTTTATTTTTGTTTAGTGGAAGAAAAGGCATAGCTAATTTTTCGGCGGAGGGGGGGTGGAGGGGTTTATCGGTTATTCCTTAAACTTAGAATTGTAGACCATTTTTAGTCCCCTGGCCAATTGTCCACATTTCCCTGTGTGTTCTTGTATTTCTTTTTATTTTGTAGTCCTTTACCATTTTGCGTTGTTCAGACTTTTTTTGTTTGTGAGTTACGTTTTCTTGGTTTATTCATGCTTGCACACCTCAATGCCGTGCAGTGTTTTTGATCATCCACATGTGGGTTATACGGGGAGATACAGTTATGCCTGTTTTTGTGTTTTATGATAGAAGAACAGGAACAGGATTCAGCAGTTCAAACAACCCCAAAGACCGCTGTTGCTAATGGCTTACTGATGAATCACAGTGACTACATTTCAGATATGGCCAATTACACCCCTACTAAATCGTCTCTTAATGAGGCCAACGATGAGATGGATGTAAATGAGAAGAAACTTGATGCAGTGGATGTTGAAGGTCCTTTAGAAAGAGGCGACGGTATATCTAGGTTTCTCTTTTTTTTTTTTTTTTTTTTGAGTTTCAAAGAAAGCTAAAATTCACAGTATCAGCCTGCAACCACTCATATCACATCCTGCTATTCTCTCCAGTAATATACTGAGATCAGGGAGTTATATCACAGTAACAGCGATCACTCAGATCACACACTGCTATTCTCTCCAGTAATATACTGAGATCAGGGAGTTATATCACAGTAACAGCGATCACTCAGATCACACACTGCTATTCTCTCCAGTAATATACTGAGATCAGGGAGTTATATCACAGTAACAGCGATCACTTAGATCACACACTGCTATTCTCTCCAGTAATATACTGAGATCAGGGAGTTATATCACAGTAACAGCGATCACTCTGATCACATATGGCTATTCTCTCCAGTAATATACTGAGATCAGGGAGTTATATCACAGTAATGGCAATCACTCAGATCTCACACTGCTATTCTATCCAGTAATATACTGAGATCAGGGAGTTATATCACAGTAACAGCGATCACTCTCATCACATACGGCTATTCTCTCCAGTAATATACTGAGATTAGGGAGTTATATCACAGTAACAGCGATCACTCAGATCACATACGGCTATTCTCTCCAGTAATATACTGAGATCAGGGAGATGGTCTGTCTGCCATTTAAAAAAAATCTGAATTGCACACCCTGATGCTTGCAAACAGCACAGCATTGGAAGATCATTGGCAATTAAACATGGCAAATTCAACTACATTTAACACTTTATTTCAACATGCTTTCCTTTTTTTCCCTTTATTTTAAATCTGTTGTAAAGTCTATGTAAACGTTTGTTTACATAATAACGAAGGGTGCTGTAACCTGCTCTGTTGTCATTTTGACCTGGGTTGCTCATGTTTACACACAGGCCATTTTTGAATATCTTGATCCATTAATCATTTCCTAACTAGAAACAGCCAGGGAATGTTCATGTGGTCTGTTATTGCTTCTGTGGTACAACCAATTCACCTAAAGTACTAGGACTCGTTTTACGTTTGCTTAAACTTTAAAGTTAAGATACCATTATAGGTAAATGTAGCAATACCATATAAACTGTTTTAAGCAACTGCTTAAATCTTTCATTGGCACAATGTCATAGCTAGTAATCTTCCATGTTTACCCAGAATGTCTTGGATTTGTGATGACATTGTGACAATGTAATACTGTCTATGGACAGAAGGTAGCACTTGTCTTACTATGTGCTGTAAAGTCTGATTTCAAACCCTGTGTCACGTGGCTCGGTTCCTTTCTACTAATAAACGGTAGAACGTAATACACCCGAAAAAAAACATGGACCTGAATCTTAATAAGCATAACAAATGCTTAGATTGTCAGCTCAGGCTGTCTATGCAGCCTCTTTAATCTCATACTGCTGCATTTTCGTATTTCGTTAAAAATGAAATTCTGTTTGAACTGTCTTGTCTGTTCCTTTGAACATACCACAGTGCCTTCCTCATTTTAAATGTGAATTTTTTTATTTCCCATCCCCACTGTCAGCTAAATATATCCAGTGCAGCCTCAGGGAACATTGGGTTCTGAAGAGTAATTTGCCACTTAGTAAATCAGTTCTCTCAGTTATAATTACATTTTTTTTTTGCTCTTGAGTACCTTGTTTTTATCAAAATCCCATTAAACTGAAATAAAGTGCAGATGGATAGGGAGGTGAGCAAACAGAGATTATCCAGGAGGGAAACTGTTCATTATTTAGAATATAAGATGTCTAATATATAGGATTTGCGATCCCTTCCGGTTCTCTTAATTAGAATTGTACATTGTTTGTTTTGTACAAATTTACGTTTTCCTCATTGAGCTTAAAACAAAAATGAGTAAAAATGTAAAAACTATCATTACTGCTACATATTTATTTCATAAAGCGGATTTGATTATTTGTGTCTCTTGCTTATAGAAGAGGATTGCCCAGATGATCTTGTTGCAATGCAACATTTGACAAGTGATTCGGACAGTGAGATTTTCTGTGATTCTATGGAGCAGTTTGGACAAGAAGAGGTAAGCATCTCAGTCTGACCTGGGTAGACCGATCACTGCGTGGAAAATTATTTTTTTTTAAAAAACAAAACAACTGAATATGGCTCCCTCCATGAGACACATTTAGGAACTCTGCCTCAAAAGGAAAAGTTGCATCCGTCAATGTTTACCATGCAGCTATTTGCAAAGCATTGTGGGGATGCTAAATGCACCATCGACATCCGAATCCCAAGCATGGGACCCTGTGAAGACTGTACCATTTGTTCCCAAAAGCAGCGATAACCTGAGACTGTCATGGGCAATCATACCTACGCAATCCTGTCTTACATACAATGCTTTCTTCCTTTTCTCTGTTTTTTTCTTAAATTTTTCATTTCCAGTTTGGTTTACCTGAAATTTAGATTGTATGCATTTAATCTCCTTCATACATGCTCATGATTCCCAAAACTCCTAACTTGGTCCTTACCAGCCAGCGGGCAACAAACCACACCGGAGTTGAGCCAGGGGCTCTTGTTCAACTCACACCCTCAGTGGCCCCCTCAGGTTAGGGGTCGATACGAGATCCCGCTTAACGTCGCAACCTTCACTAACCCCCTAGTCGACACTGGAGGGAACGCATTGACAGACCAAGCGAACTAGCAAGGCAAAAACCTCTACGGTCCATCCAATCAGACAAATCCAAAGTTATATAGGCGACACCTCATCCCTTGCCCCGCGCATATCCCCATAATGACTCCGTTGTGGACGGAAATAATGAACGTATTTAAAAAAATTGAGCAGACTAGATGGGCCAAATGGTACTTATCTGCCGTCACATTCTATGTTTCTATGAAAGAAAAAAACCTTAAGTCTGTTGAGAGCCCCCCCTATATAGCGTACACTAGTCTCCATACCATCAAGAGGTTCATGCATAGCATTGATTAGCACGACAATATAAAACCGGTGCAGTGCCTTCTCTATTTAAATGCCTTGCTGTATATACAGGAGTTGATTGTTATAACTCTGGTAATTCATAGTTCATTGAATGTAAATATTATCTTGCACCACAAAAATAAAGAATTATAAAAAAAAAAAAATATATATATATATATATATATATATATATATATATATATATATATATATATATTCGAGCAAGCTGCCATTTTTGTTTGCTCTAATGTGTACCAATGAAAAACATTGGTTTTGTGTTACACTCTGATTTGTCCCATAACTGCATTTCATGTGATTAACAGGTGGATCACAGTCAGCTGCTGGAGGATGCCATGTTATCAGACGATGCTATGGAAACTTCAGCTGGCGATGCTAAGAAATATGGAGGGAATGATAAACACCCATCTAGTCGCACACCTCAAAAAGAAAAATTTGGAAGTGAAAAGTCAGGTTATACTGGTTCCAGACGAGGAAAAGGTACACTCCAAATCCTTCCTTAGTAATTCATCAGATTGTTCAGTTTCATGATTATGATTAGTTATAGGAACACTCTAGTGTCCCTTTTCCACTGCTGCAGCATTGAAAGGGTTAAAAAAACAAAAACAAAAAAAACCAACAACTTTTTTTTTCACTTACCATATTTTAGATCCAATGTCTCTCTGCGCTGGCTCAGTCTCTTCCTCCTCAGCATTCGCAATAACAGGAAGAGACACTAAAGGCAGTCTTGACACTGCAATGGAAACGTAGTTTCTCTAAAACTGCAATGTTTTACATCAGAGGATTAAAGGGACAGGGACACTGCACCCAGACCACTTCAATGAAATGCCTATAGCGTCCTTAAAGTTGTCCATTAAAAGTAGTAATCCCTTTAAGCACTTTGAATTTAGTTGGATTTAAAAACCTTGACTTAACCAATTGGCTTTATTCTTGAAGTCACCATGCCTATGTTTCTGCTGGTTTGCACTACTTTGGAATTTGTAACACATCATTTTCCTACATGTTCGGAAGAACTTGCCTCTGGTCCACTGGATCTGTATATTAACAAATTTTTTTTTTTTTCCTTTAAATGTTTAAGTTAGTCATGCGAATCGTATGGGTGACGGTTTTCGAGTAGGTCAGATGGATAGCGGTGGAGATGGAGAACGTTGGGGATCAGAGAGAAGTCCAAGTGACAGTCTGACTGAACAGATTAATGTGATCCTGATGCGGTTGCAGGAGGATATGCAGAATGTTCTTCAAAGGCTCCATACACTAGAGTCCCTCACTGCCTCGCAGGTACAGGCTCATTAATGAAAGATCACCATTACATGGGCTATTTCAACATGGCTTTTTATCGATAAAATAGCAGTGATGATTCGCTATAGCTGAATTCTATGAAAAAAAATTCTAAACTATATTTTTAGCATGATCCTGCCATCAGCAATATCTTGCCTGTTTACGTTAGAATCCTTATCTGCTTTGTCTTCTGCTGTTTCCTGTAGTCAGTTTTTAAACGAACATGCAAAATTTCAGTCAAAATATCAAAGTTGGGAAAATAAGATCCTACTCAACAATTTTGAATACAATTTGCAGCACCTTAACGCAAATTATATTATTAGAGGGAAGAGATTTAAATGAATTCTGTGTCAAGCATGCATTAACCATTCATTTTTACTTGAAACCGTTTTAATTTTACCATGAGCGATTCTAACCTGCTGCTACTTTATTACTTTAGTACAGCGGACCATGTAAAATTGAAGGAAAAAGCTATTTTTGCTTTTTATAGCAGACATCTATACAGCAAGCCTGGGAGTGCTAAGGAGAAATAACATCATGATCAAACGGACAAAACATTTTGAAACCATTGCATTTCTGTAATATAATTTTTGTATAATAATAGTCTATTACATAAATCTAAGCATTGCTAAATAAACACACTTTATGCTTCTGCTTTAGGCAAAGTCATTGGCTGTTGAGTCAAGTTATAGAAAGCCTGCGAAAAAGGTAAGAAATAAGTTTGTGGGGTTTGTTGTGTATATTTATTTACTGAATTTGTGGAACTGTTGATGGTGTGATGTATATTTGTGCAAACTGGCTAATGAGTTTAAAAGGAACATTTAATTTTGCTAATATAAACCGTTTCAAGTATTGTAAGCTCACAGGCCGTCTTGCATAGCCCTCTGTAGGAGATGTTGCAGACATTAGACTGAAGACCACAGCCAGGGTTCTGTACTCCTCGTGTATCTAATTATGTATCAATTTGTCTGTAAAAATGCCTGTTTGTTTTGCTTAATCTGTAAAGTCTGAGTGCTGTATGAGACCGATTAAAAATGTATTTTATTTTTTTTTTTAAATCATGCTTTTTCTCCAGTTCCACCTCTATTTGCTCTTTCCGTTTTAATGTGCAGATCTGCCAATTACATCTCTCATTCAATATCCCTGTGCACGTATGCTGATAACATTGCACATCTTCATGTTGTACATATCACCTGGGTATGGGTTCTTTGCTAATGTCAAGGAAGGGCAGTGGGAGCAGCATTACCCTCTGATTTAACCAGGCCTTGTGCTTTGTGTAAAGCAGCTTGTGACTTCAGAGGGATTTCAGAGTTTGGGTCGAGCATGCAAGACAGGGCTGGACTGCCAATAAGAAGCAGCCTTGGAAATATCTTTCTACCAGTCCTATAACTCCTCATACTAGCATACTGCCAAGATATGTGGAATAAAAAAAGTTTAAAGTGAAAATTATCAGGGAGAATTTTGACTAAAATTTGAAATACACATTAGATTTACTCTGAATTACTACAATAATATTCACTTTTTAGTGGCTAACTTCATCTCTCTAACATGAAGAAATGCACTCATATGTTTAAGTAACAGGGCTGAACTACTGATTATACACGGTTACACACCTGCCAACAGCTAGACATTGTCTGTAAGTGTCTGTCCATTTCTTTATCTACACACACCTATCCTTCTCATTCAGTGCCTCTCTCTGCGGTTTTTTTGTGCAGAAATATTTTTTATAAATTAAATTTATATAAAAGATGAGCTAGAGATAAAAAAAAAAAAAAAAGGCTTAGAAGTTGGGGATAAAACAAAGCCAGGTTCATGCTGGGAAATAAAAGTCTGGAAATATATTAATTGGCTGTTCTGAATATTTTGCACTATGTCATTCTATAGAGTGGAGTGAGGATTCATGACTGTAAAGAAGCAGAATAATATATTCCTGTCATCTAGAACTACTTTTTTTGCCCCTTAGAGACCATCTTGGTGGCCCTTTGGCATTTCTCCAGGAACAGCAGCATTTGCAATTATATGGCCATTTGTTGCTCATTGGCTAATGAACGCATATCTTCAAAGAAAAAGAAGGTAATTTTCATGTGTCTTAAAACTTACAAATGAAGGAATAACTGCAACAAGAATAGCACAATTTTAATTTGACCAGTATCTATTTGGAGTATTTAACACAAGTCTGAGGAATGGCTATTATGATCTTTAGCAAATAAGTTCAAGTTGCTGGGATTTTTTTTGTTTTTTTTGTTTTCTGATTCGCACACGAACTTGCTCTACACCGATTTAAAGGGACACTATAGTCACCAAAACAACTACAGCTTATTGAATTTGTTCTGGTGAGTAGAATCATTACCTTCAGGCTTTTTGCTGTGAACACTGTCTTTTCAGAGAAAATGCAGTGTTTACATTACAGCCTATTGATAACTTCACTGGCCACACCTTAGATAGCTGTTAGAGATCCTTCCTGGATCATGGCTGCCTAAAATGCATCCAAACATTCAGTATCTCCTCCCTCTGCATGCAAACACTGAACTTTCCTCATAGAGATTTATTGATTCAATTCATCTCTATGAGGAGATGCTGATTGGCCAGGGCTGTGTTTGAATCATGCTGGCTCTGCCCCTGATCTGCATCTTTGTCAGTCCAAAGTCCAATCCTCTGGGGAAGCATTGTGATTGGCTCAGGCTACCACTTCTGATGATGTCAGCAGACTGCTTGTTTTTATGAGCCTAACAGCATGCATTGTTACAGCTTCAGGCTTGAATACAGTAAGATTTTTACTATATTTATGGAGGCATGATGGGCTCGATGGTGGTTTTAACACTATAGGGTCAGGAATGCATGTTTGTGTTCCTGACCCTATAGTGATCCTTTAAGCTCTAAAACATTGTGACCATACAGTATTTTTAAATATTTAGGGAGTAAATCCGCTTTTGTTCCCTAAACACTATAATTTTAACAATTTGTTTTGCAACAGTCAGGGTTGATTAAAATGTTACATTTTTACACCAAAATAGCCACATCTGGGAAATAATTTTTTTTTTTTTCAGTTCCCCTATTTTTGACTGAAATTCTAAATTTACTTTGAATTCCTAACAATTTCTATTTGACTGCAAAACCCTGAAAATCTTTATTTTTATTGCATTACAGAATGTTTATGAATTATTCCTTCTGATATCATGTAGTGGTGTAATGTTCACCATAACCTTATGTTTGTATCTGTACTAAAAAAAATATATAAAATTTATATATAATATTTTATAAGGGCATAAAGATATTACAACATTGTCCACAAGAGTGATGACTTGGGAATTAAGAGTCCAAAAGTTGTGGTTGGTAGACTCTTTTTGTTCTTAAAGCACTGTTTTGATATTGCAGCATTGGTAAACACAAGATGAAATGTATTCCGGTAACTTGAAATTCATTTCAACATTCTTTCACCTTTACTTTTAGGAAGTTGACCTGATTGTGTGAGTTAAAGCTCTTCTGGCTGAAAGATCAGCAGAGATGTCCTGCAATCGACTTAACGTGGATCGCAAAGGCTGAGACATGTTCAGTTTGCTATAGTAAATTCATTGCACTACATGAATAACAAAATTAAGGACTAATTTTACTAAGGCTTGGAAACCAGGAATAATAAACCATGTTGGCTGTAGTATTAAGAGTTACTTTTACCATGTATGAAGACTAAATTATTTTTAAAAAATATTGAAAGCATGTAATAGATGTAATATAATTTTGCAAAAAAAATCCAGGACGATGCAATTGTAACAGATGTACAAATAAAATCAGTTTGAGAGGATTGTAGGAAATTGAGAATGTTTCCTTGTGTTAATTTTTTATTACTATTATAAATAAAACTTACCTGAAATGAAGTATTTGCTGAGTTGTGTTTTCAAATGCGAGGTCTTTTTTTCGGATTTATACCGATGTTAGATATGTCCATCACAGGCCCCCCCCCCCCTTTTCAAAAATCAACATTAAATTACATTTTCAGGCCAAAATACCTGAATCCTAAAATGCAGGTTAGATCTTATGTCCTACAATTTACACAAGGACCCCACGGTAAAACAGTGGTTGGACAGGGTAGTGGAAATCCAATCAACATAAGCTATGCATTTTTCCCTGATGGGCACTGACATGAAACACACAGAGCGCTGGGGTTCTTGGTTTGAATATGTGGCACGGACGGATGCTGCGCGCGTCGGGGGTGCTGGGGCTGATCTGTGGGGGCATGACTAACCCTTATAACCCTGTCTATTGCCACCTGTCTGCCTCTCTTACCCACTACTTCACTTACCTATTTCTCACTGATCTTCCACCTACAGCTTTCTTTTTCGCTTACCTCTCCTTACTATCTGATTAACCCAACAGGTACCTATCTGGGTGGCCCTGGTCATGGTGGGTGGAAACCAGTTCAACAAGCGACCACTTCAATTTCGGGCGACCTATTGAATTATCCCCGGGAGTCTAGCTCTGCAGTGGTACTAGAGACTGAGTTGAGGGAAACACACATAAGCAAAGGCATCGCCCCTACCCACAGCTTGTGTCACACACTGTGAATCTTCCACAATTTCCCGAAAACCTAGACATAGCCACTCCCGCTAGCACGCTAATGCAGTTAACCACTCAGGTGAGCTGCTCAGAACCTGGCGACCCCCACTGGAACGGGCTCTGATTATTGCTGAAGGAATGCTCTATAGGCACCCAGACCACTTCAGCTTATTGAAGTGGTCTGGGTGACAGATCCCGCTAGGATTAACCCTTTCTGCTGTAAACGTAGCAGTTTCAGAGAAACTGATATGTTTACTTTAGGGTTAATCCAGCATCTAGTGCCTGTCTCATTGACAGCCGCTAGAGGCGCTTCTCCTATGGACTGGCTGAATGTGCATTCAGCCGATGACGGGGAAAGGAGGAGGAGAGTCCCCAGCACCAAGGGAGCCCAGCGCTGGAAAAAAGTAAGGGATTAACCCCTTCCTCACCCTAGAGCCCAGCGGGAGGGGACCCTATAGAGCCAGGAAAACTAGCGTTTTCCTGACACTATAGTGGTCCTCCTTTAAGGGCTATGCACATTAATCATGTCGTATACTGATACACCTGCTAGGCTTCAAAACCTACAAGTTGATATTTTATAGCCTTTTATATGTTCTTTGACTTACTGCTTATAGCAATCACCATGTTTCATTGCGTTACTATTCCACAGCTTTGAGACCTGAGAGTATCACATTCGCCATTATTGCACCGTTATGCTATTGAGATTATGTATTCTTGCCTTAAAGGGACTTTCCAGTGCCAGGAAAACAAATCCGTTTTTATTTCCGATAATAAAAAGCATAAAAGCTTAAGAACTCCCCCCTCCCCTCTTATGTAGTGTACTCACATGATATGGAGGGGTTCTATATATATATATATATATATATATATATATATATATATATATATTGATAGTGTAGATTTAGTCGCTGTTACTGAGACATGGTACAATGAGAAAAATGACTGGGACATAGCAATACCAGGGTACTCTTTATATAGGAAAGATAGGGAAGGCAAGAAAGTGGGAGAGGTGGCCTTGTATGTGAAGGATAGCATAAAATCTAGCCTAATAAAAGTTAGTGAGGCAAACATAGAGTCCGTTTGGGCTACGTTAGAATTTGGTAATCACACAGTAACTCGTGTAGGTGTGATTTATAGGCCCCCTGGACAAATTATTAGAGTTAGATAATCTACTAGTTGAGGAAATAGCTAAAATGACAATGAAGGGGGAAGTTATCATCATGGGTGACTTTAATCTTCCTGATGTAAATTGGAAAACAAAATTAGCTACTTGTGCCAGGAGCACACATATTCTAAACTCCCTACTGGATTGTCTCTAAAACAAGTTGTTGAGGAGCCAACTCGTAAAGAGGCCATACTAGATTTAGTGTTAACAAATGGAGATTTGGTATCAGATGTTACTGTAGGTGAAAGTTTAGGATCCAGTGATCATCAGTCAGTGTGGTTTAATATAAGAACAGTGACTGAGTCACACCACACAAAAACAAAAGTTTTAGACTTTAGAAAAACAGACTTTTCTAAAATTAGAATATGGGTAGAGGAGTCATTATCAGACTGGAGCAATTTAAATGGAGTCCAAGAGAAATGGGATTATTTAAAAAAGTTGCACTATTGAAGGCAACAGAAAATTGCATTAGGCTTGTCAGTAAAGGCAAAAAATTCAAGAAACCACTGTGGTACTCCGCAGATGTGGCCAAAATAGTTAAAAACAAAAAGTTAGCATTTAGGAATTATAAAAAAACCCAGAGTGAGGGAGACAAAATGATCTATAAGATTAGGCAGAAAGAGGCTAAGCAAGTTATAAGAGCTTCCAAATCACACACAGAAGAGAAAATAGCACAGTCAGTAAAAAAGGGGGATAAAACATTTTTTAGATACATAAATGAGAAAAGAAAAGTAAAACAAGGATTAGTTAGATTAAAAACAAAAGAAGGAAGGTATGTAGAAGAGGATAAAGGTCAGGCTGACTGTCTCAATGAATATTTTTGTTCTGTATTTACAGAAGAAAATGAAGGAAAGGGACCTCAGTTGAGAAAAAGGATAAATGAGTCATTTATTACACGTGAGTTTACAGAGGAAGAGGTTCTATTTCAACTGTCAAAAGTAAAGACAAATAAGTCAATGGGACCTGATGGAATACACCCAAAGCTATTAAAAGAGCTTAGTGGTGTACTAGCAAAACCATTAACAGATTTATTTAACCAATCATTAACAGGAGTAGTCCCAGAAGATTGGAAGTTAGCGAATGTTGTGCCCATTCACAAGAAAGGTAATAGGGAGGAGTCGGGCAACTATAGGCCAGTAAGCCTTACTTCAGTAGTGGGAAAAGTGATGGAAACCATGTTAAAGGATAGGATTGATTGAACATCTAAAACACATGGATTTCAAGATCAGAGACAACATGGGTTTACTTCAGGGAGATCATGCCAAACTAATCTTATTGATTTTTTGATTGGGTAACTAAAATTATAGATCAGGGTGGTGCAGTAGACATTGCTTACCTAGATTTCAGTAAGGCTTTTGACACTGTTGCACATAGAAGGCTTATCAATAAACTGCAATCTTTAAGTTTGGATTCAAATATTGTTGAATGGGTAAGGCAGTGGCTGAGTGACAGGCAACAGAGGGTTGTAGTTAATGGAATATATTCGAAGCTTGGACTTGTCACCAGTGGGGTACCTCAGGGATCTGTACTTGGACCCATTCTCTTTAATATTTTTATTAGTGATATTGCAGAAGGTCTTGATGGTAAGGTATGTCTTTTTGCTGATGATACTAAGATATGTAACAGGGTTGATGTTCCAGGAGGGATAAGCCAAATGACAAATGATTTAGGTAAACTAGAAAAATGGTCAGAATTGTGGCAACTGACATTTAATGTGGATAAGTGCAAGATAATGCATCTTGGACGTAAAAACCCAAGGGCAGAGTACAGAATATTTGATAGAGTCTAACCTCAACATATGAGGAAAGGGATTTAGGGGTGATTATTTCTGATGACTTAAAGGTAGGCAGTCAATGTAATAGAGCAGCAGGAAATGCTAGCAGAATGCTTGGTTGTATAGGGAGAGGTATTAGCAGTAGAAAGAGGGAAGTGCTCATGCCATTGTACAGAACACTGGTGAGACCTCACTTGGAGTATTGTACACAGTACTGGAGACCGTATCTTCAGAAGGATATTGATACCTTAGAGAGGGTTCAGAGAAGGGCTACTAAACTGATTCATGGATTGCGGGATAAAACTTACCAGGAAAGGTTAAAGGATCTTAACATGTATAGCTTGGAGGAAAGACGAGACAGGGGGGATATGATAGAAACATTTAAATATATAAAGGGAATCAACACAGTAAAGGAGGAGACTATATTTAAAAGAAGAAAAACTACCACAACAAGAGGACATAGTCTTAAATTAGAGGGACAAAGGTTTAAAAATAATATCAGGAAGTATTACTTTACTGAGAGGGTAGTGGATGCATGGAATAGCCTTCCAGCTGAAGTGGTAGAGGTTAACACAGTAAAGGTGTTTAAGCATGCGTGGGATAGGCATAAGGCTATCCTAACTATAAGATAAGGCTAGGGACTGATGAAAGTATTTAGAAAATTGGGCAGACTAGATGGGCCGAATGGTTCTTATCTGCTGTAACGGAGCTCCCTGTACTCCGACCGAGTACCCTCCGTTGACGGATGCTCCTAGCGCTTCCTGAGGACTTCAAGCGCTGCAGCAGACACCACAACCACCGCAGACTCCGCAACCACCATATCTTGACTGGAGTCTCGCCTTCTTCCTTCCACCCTGGATCAGCTTCTGTCCTCCAGGACTGTGTGGAAAAGAACTCTTCCTTCCACCCTGTACGAACCTCCAGCATCCAGGACTGTGTGGTGAAGACCCCTCCTCCAAGGAGAGCATGTCAGGAACAAGCTCTTAAAAGAGCTAAGTGACTCAAGCGAGCATGCAGAGCATAGCAATCCCCAGTGTGATTATAACAGCTCCCTCCAATAACGAGACAAGGCTATGTTTAGAGGGATCAAGAAGAACTGTCAAAACCTTTATTCCCTTGGGACCAGCCAATACAGTCACCACAATAACATTGTTGTGAAACCTCAATAAAATCACAAACAGTCAAACCATATCAAGAAACACACAGTGACTTATCACAACACAATGGCACATTTTTAAAGGGGTGGGGGGAGACAATATTTAACAGTAAATATCTCACCTGCCTGCAGAATTAGCAATATGCAAATCTACCCGAATATGCAAATGAACCAGTCTTGCAATTCAGGTAGTGCATATTGCTGTTGCTACCAACAGAGGGCACTAGACCAGCTCCATAGCCAAACCCACCTAGTTGGTAGCAAACCTCAGCAGTACAGGAGAGAAGGCAATACATTTCACAGTACACACACACACTATAAACAATTACATTACACACACCCTGCACCTATAATGGGTACAGGGTGACTAAAACATAGGATAAATAAAGCAGCCCACATAAATAGTCTGTCTGAAGGTAGACTAGGGGCTTTAAAGCCAGATAGATGAAAGAGTCATAGTCACAGGGGAGGAGGCTGGCAAGTAGGCCTCTCCAGGACCAAGTGGCGAAGGGCACTTCGTCACATCTGCCGTCACATTCTATATATATAAATAAAACAAGAGGGGGTTGGCTGCACTCACCTGAACATGCATAAATGGGGGTGCTGCTGGGGGCCAAATAATACAAAACACAAGATCCAGCGCACTCACCTATCCACTAAACAGCAACTTCAATGTTGAAAGATTTTATTTGTTTTAAAACACCTAATCTAGGCAAAAATAATGGGGGTTTAGTTACATTATATGATCATACATTGCATAAGCCTGCCACAACGTCAATGTACCCCATCTTTGGCAGGTCCTACACTAACAGCCTAATGTCTGCTCTTATGAGATTAACCTACTTGGGTATTATATATATATATATATATATACACATATATACACACACACTAAATTAATGTTAGATGCTCTGTTTGAATGCTGGAGGCAAGATGTTGTAAACTCCTCTACTGCGCAGTTTGTCAGAGTCCAGTGTGGATCCACACAAGGGTCAAACAAGTGCAGAATTGGTAAGGGTGATCATTCACTGCCTGCTCCTACGCATTTCGCGAGTGCTCACTTGATTCTCTATAGATGGATATCCATTATATATCCCACAAAAGGGCAGTGTTCATTAAATTAAAGTGATCATGCAACAATCTAGCCAAAAAAAAAAAAAAAAAGCTTTTCATAGCAAATAGTAGGGATGTGCATGGGAAAAATATTCAGTTTGGCATTCTGAAATTTGGAACTTTGGTTTGGCACCTTAAGTGTAGGGTTAGGGTTGGTTTAGGAATAGGGGTAGGGTTAGCCTACCCCTATTCCAACCACTAACCCTACCCCTAATCCTAACTCCCAACCCTCTCCTGTTTTGCCACTTTTCAGAAATCCGAAGCACTTCGGTTTGATTTGGCATTCCGGCCATTCGGAAGCATCCGAATTTCTGAAATTCGTCCGAACTTGCTTTCGAAACGAATTGCACACGTCTAGCAAATAGCCACGTAGATCTCACAGACCAAAGTCCCTGACAGGTTTACACTTTATATATAAATTAGAAAGTTAAAACGTTAAAAAAAGTCCAGTTTGATGCCTAGATTAAGGGCATCATTTGATTAATAAACTATTTTATGATTAGATACATGAATAAAATTCCATAATTACATAGATTGATTCTATAATTTACTACATAACCGAGGGATGGGAGAATGTGTTACCCAGACGAGCAAATAGGGGGGAGTGGGGAAATGCCCAGAGCAATTGCAAAGACTTCTCATTCAGCTGCATTGGAAAGTCTGATTGGACAGCCTCAAAGTCTGGGCATGGGGAAGAAAGGGAGGGCTTGTGAAGGCAGCAGGCAAGACCTGCATCTTTTGCAAGCGGTTTTAGATCAATATTAAAAAAAAATAAATAAAAAAAAAAAATTTATATATCATAATCATGCACATTTCCATTTGGGGCAAATCTACTAAATTGATTTTTTTTTTATAGTCCACTTAGTTTAAATGTTAATAACCAAAAGGTTAAAATAGCTGAACTGGAACAATTCACCAAGTTTACCATACTTTAAGTCAGTTTCTTTGGCCTAAAATTTTAATTTCACTTTGATTTTCTGACAACTCATTTTATTGAATAGGGTTGAATGATTTCGAATTTCTATTGATGAAACCAAGAGGGCTGCACTCACCTAAACATACTTCCAAGGGTGCCGCTGGGGCCAATTCATACAACATACAAAATCCGGTGCCCATGCTCATTCGATAAAAAGCAATTTCCAGTCTCACAGATTGTAATAGTTTTATTTATTAAAAAAGCAAAAAC